ATATAACAAAAAGGGGGAGAAGTTTGGTTTGAAAAAAAAATCAATTTCCTAATGAAAAAGGGGGAGCTTAACATTTTTATACTTTTTCCAACAATTGGTATATTTTTCATTAAATATTTTATTAAAGAGGAGTTTTGCCAAAAACAAATCTTCAAATATTTTGTTACGTCAAAAATGGGGAGATTGTGAAACTATATTTTGATATAACAATTATGGCAAAATGTTTTTGGACTTAAATTGAATTTATTCAAAGTTTTTCAAGGTTTTCAAAATTAGTTCAAAGTTAGTTTAACTTGGAATTGAGAACAAAATGTTTTTCTGGACAATAAGTACTGATATTGTTCTTACAGTATCGATACCTCATGAACATTACCGATACTGATCTTATGGTACTGATACCAAAGGTAAGGGAAGTATCGATACTCACTAGGTAGTATTGATACTACCAACATTGTTCAAATTCCATAATTCAAAAATGGTACCGATACTCAAAGGGGTACCGATACTACTTCACATAGTATTATCGATACCATGGGTATAGTATCAATACCATAAGCCCCAACGGCTAGTAACAGCTAGTTGATTTAAAATTAACAAAGGTAGTATCGTTACTCCCTTTAGGAGTACCGATACCCTCTGTACTGGGCAATTTTATTTTGTAGAGATTTTATCCCCAAACGGCTAGAAATCATCTCTAACTGCTATAAACATCCCTAACGACTATAAACAGACACAACTTCATTCCAACATATAAATACAAGTTCAAGACACTTGAATAAGATTAGAACAACTGTCCAATCATTCAAACACAAGAGAAGAGTTTTCGAATCTTATTTTCATCGCTCTTGTAAATATTAGTGTTTTAGTGAGCTAAATTTCTAAACACCCTACCTTTGAGAGGTTTTATTGTTTACTTCTTTTTACCTTTTGTAAAAGGGGATTGGTTCTAGTTTAGCCAAGTGAAAATATAGGGAGTGTAAAGTTTATCTCTTGATCCTTGAAAAAGAAAGAACAAATTAGTGAATTTGTTAGAAAATCCTTAGAGAGGAGCTAAGGTAGTAGAGGTAGACTTAGTTGAGAAGTTGAACCACTATAAATGGTTCTGCCTATTTCTCTATTTTTTACTCTCCTTACTCCCTAAACAATTTATTTCCAATTCACCCCTCTTGAAACTTTTTCGGTTGTCAATTCGAGTTTCTATAAATCCTAACAACCCTAAATCATCGATCCCAATGCTTAACCTTCAACTTGTTTTCTTACCCAATCAAAGAATAGGGTATCGATATTGGTCGTCCATAATCGATATTGACCTTAGGGGGTATTGATACTACCTCGAGTACTGATACCAAAAATGTCTTCGATGTTTTGAAAAATCCCTTATTATCAATACTCTTACCTATAGTATCGATACTCTAACACATGGGTATTGATACTACCCCGATTATCGATACCAATAATGGTTTTGATGTTCTAAAAAAATAGCTTGGTATCGATACTCTTCCTGGGAGTATCAATACTCTACCCCTACTCTACCCCTAGTTTCTATACTCCCAAGAGTACCGATACTTGAGCCCAAAAGCATCTTATTTCCCACAAAAATACAACCCCTAACCCAACCATTCACTACTTAAAGGTTATTAAACATTATGAGAAGTGATTAGGACTTGTAGGTGAACATAATGCACCCTTAAAATACATCTAACACCATAATCCAGTAGGATTCACAAAACATGCACAATGCACCCATAAAAGTAAACAAACACATTATGTAACACCCTAATCCAGTCCGACCTAAACATCCATGGATTAAAATGTTACACGAGACTACCGAAATAGTGACCCAAAAATTTTCTTTAAAAATTGCTTTATAGAACAACTGATAAATAATTCATCCATAGCAATTAAAATAAAACATGATAAATATCTGAGTTTAAAAAATATGGGGAGCACCAAAATGAATCCAAATACTGAGTACAAATCAAAGTTACGACTGAGTACAAATAAAGGTCCACAAATAATACACGCCCTCTAAAGATGTCTCAAGATGTACTCTAAAAGTCTTTGCTGATCTGATCTGCTATATTGGAATATATATGACAATAACTCCCCATGAGCGACCAACTAAGAACCTGTACACAGAAACACATTCCGAACGCTGAGCTTACGAGCTCAATGCCTAGCTAATAATTGTAATATATTGCATGCATTCCTAAATGAATGGCTAGTGGCACAAGTCTAAAACATGCAATATATATATATATATATATATATATATATATATATATATATATATATATATATATATATATATATATATATATAATGATATACTGAGTGGTGGTTGGCATCATGGTGCGACAGAGGGTTCTGCATCTCAGAGCTCACGCATCCCTCTAACTTGCCAGAATACCCTTGGGTGCCTGCATGTGGTCTGGAACTACATCGGAGAATACATCGACACCTTGGATTTATCTAGGGTGATATCTGGAGCTACATCATAAACGTACACCCCACCAACTTACTCCGTCGAGTTTTGGAGCATCTATTCCCAGTCGACTATTGAAGTGCGTTGGAGTTGGCCTGAATATCTAACTAACTGCCAAAATCTACTAAGAGAGTCTTGGGTGTTGTGATTGTTTCTCAAGTGTCAAGCAAGGGTAGTTTTATGAAACCCTAGTTGTTATTGTTTCTACTATTATGATATTAATTATTGTTTTCACTTGTAGTTTTATTTGTTGTTGTTCTGGTGTAATTAAGCCCTTTGAGTCTAATCCGTTAACCATTGGATTACTTATCCAAAACTGTCTATGGGTACCGATACTGACCCTTTAGTATCGATATTGAACCCTTGGTATCGATACCCACCCTGTAATACCCCAAATTTTGGTTAGTGACTAAAATATAAGTTTTAAAAAGTTGGTTATAAAGTATAAACTTTGTAAAAGTTCAAGGACCAAAAAGGTAATTTTTAAAAATTATATATTTTAGCCCGTAAATGAATAGTTTTTCCTAAAACAAGAATCTTTGTGGGATTTAAAATTTCGGTACGTGATTTGCATTAAAAGCTATAAAGCAATACAGTTCGGTATAGAAATCAGATAATCAGATTGAATCAAAATTTCACGAAAATTTGAAGGATGCTAGATAAAGGTTGGAAATATTATTTCCATACTTTAGATTAGAGAAATATATCATGGATAAATGGAATTGAAGTCAAATTTTCATATTTAGGGAGAAAAATTGAGAATTTAGTGACTAAAATGTAATTTTTAAAATTGAAAGTCAAAGCCAAATTGGTTCATCTTTTACTAAGGAATATTTTAATGGAATATATTGCAATCGAATTTGGTAATTATCAAGATTCATTACTGGTAATTTTGGAAATTCTCATTGAATTTTAAATTCAATTATATTAAGTTAAGCCAAGTATATTAAGCATTAATTAGAAGAAAATCAAGAAATTTCAGCCTTCTTCTTCCTCTTGGCTGAATTCACCATAGCTAAACAAGGTAATTCATGCTAAACATGCTTGGATGTGAGATTGATGATTAGGGTTTATAGAGGATTTGTTGAATTTGATGAATTAAAGGTTGAATTTTATGTTATTGATGTTGTAGATTAATTTCCAAGCACTTGTAATGATCAAAGTCCCTTATAAATGCATAAGAACAGTTCGGCTACACCTAGGGTTTATGCGAATCGATTGAATTTGGTGTTAGGATGATTGGAATTGCATGAATTTGATCATAGGAGGTTGAATTCATGCTTAAAATTGAATGAAACTCTTGCCCTATTGCATTAGGTAGGTTCGGCCATAAGAAGAAAAATTGAGGAAAAATGTTGAAAAATTTCCTAGGGTCTAGAATTGATATTGGATGCATTCTACATGCTTTGGAGATCAAATTGGATCAATTTGGAATCAGGTTTGGGTTTCCTACATAGAATCAAGTTTGATTACTGCTACACTCTGGTAATTATGCTTATATGTTTTGGCAGGTATGTTTAATATCTCTATCTAAATATTACACTTCAGTATGATTCTTGTGTTGTTTCAAAAAATCGGTTAACACATAAACTTCCTTTAGTTGTTTCAAATGTAAGTTGATGTTATATGAAGATGTTATATGGAATGCGTTCTAACATCATTTGTTTACAGTCTAAGAAAGGGAATGAAGAGGAAAATAAAATTACAAGAAAAAATGATTCAAGGGGATTCGTTATGTGCATGTTAAAGGAGTAGAAATGAATTTATTAATTGCTTATTTGGTCTTAACCCTAGTATTCTAGATTTCAATAGAAAAAAATTAAAGCTTCTTGGTATTACTCTTTTGAAAATAATAGTCTTTGAACTGCTATATTGGAAGTAGTTATTTGTTGATCATTAACATTATTTATTTCTTCCCTTGGTCTATTGATCATTTGATTCGATTTACCTTTTAGATTTCTTGACATGTTCCATGATTTATGTTTCAAAATTTTATTTTTATACCTTCTCTCTTTTTTCCCAGTATTACATCTGGCTACCTTTTTATTCAATTTCTCAAGTTCTCCTTAAGAATCTTTGGAAGATCCCATTTATCATGTTCTATTGCACCAGATGAGCATGTAAGGACCCAAACTCCAATTATAATACTGGAAAATTATCTGTCGATTTGCGCATGACATGTTAATGTGCCGTTCTGATATGTTATATTACCCTTTCCAAGTTACTGATCTATTGATCTGTACTCAGTGATAACGTAGTTTTATTCCTAGATTAATATCTTTTGCAATTGACATGGATGCGCTGATATGGGTTCTATTGTCAAATAGCAAAAACGTCAAAATGATAGTTAACTCATCATATTTCACATGATGGTAGTTTTCATGTGATGGTTCAAAGATTGATGGATAGGATTGGCATGTTGATTATATTGTGCATAGAATGTCCACCTTGATTTATAATGACAGTTTTTAGTTGTTTGATGAATGGAATAAGTGATAGTTCTTAATGCTTTTGAAATTCTTTGTCTAGGAATGATACAAAAACAAAGGGTAAGCACTCCCCTGTTGTGATTGCAAGAATCGCCTTCAGTGTTTTGGGTTGCTTGATGTTGGGAACTTTGATCTATACTCTCTTAACTGATGGTTCACCTTTCCGCAAAGAGCTACCAACTCCGTAAGTTTTTTAACTCCTCTTTTATTGCCACACATTTTTACTCCTCTCAGTTTGGAGTAGTTTATCAATGAATATAATCCTTTTGAAGAAAATGAGGTCATATTCATACTACAGACTTGGCATTGAGGTTCTTGCTATCGCTTTCTTTGAGATACCATATTGTCTTTAGAGTGTTGTTTTCCCTAGAGATCCCAGATTCGAGCAGTGATGTCTGCAAGGTGTTTGTACACTCATTATCAACGAAAATACAAAGAAAATACTTAAATTAAATGACAGCTACAACAGAAGTTACTAACATGTTCACCAACAATCATTTTATCCATTCCTTGCAGTGATGTCTGCAAGGTGTTTGTACACTCATTATCAACGAAAATACAAAGAAAATACTTAAATTAAATGACAGCTACAACAGAAGTTACTAACATGTTCACCAACAATCATTTTATCCATTCCTTGCAGTTGCTTTTCGCTTGCTTATGTTTCTGGAAAGCCGAACAAATTGCTAAATTGTTTGCATGTGGATGACAGCTACACTAATTGATTTCTACATAAATGTTGTTGCTCTATCGGTAAGTTTGAAATGCTAAGACATGAGCTACACACTGCGGATGTTTGTTTTTTACTCGTCATGAATGTTTGCTTTTTTGTTGGCAAATAAATTCTAGGTTTGGGCCGCCTACAAAGAATCAAATTGGATTACAACAATTCTCTGGATAGCCCACTGATATGTTTTGGCAGGTGTACTTTCTTTTCTTTCCCACCTCTCAGTACAAGCTAAAACTTAAGGCTACAGTTCCGTATAATAGAAACAATGTTTTCCTATTTCAAAATGGGATTTCTTTTAAAAGGGTAAAGAACACAAATAATCCCCCAACTATAGAATATTATTTTGTTGAGTCTCCCGATTATTAGAAGTTACAAAATGGTCTTCTAATTATAGGACATTGTTTTGTTGAGTTCATCGACTGTTAAAAGTTTACAAAATGGTCACCCAATTATTCATATGTTCCAAACTCATCTTATTCGTTAAAACGTTAATGACAGTCTGAGTTGGAAGTTAATAGTCGTTTGAGATTTTAGGATCAAATTTCATCATATCACAGTCAGTAGTTTAAAGTCCAGCTCAGACTTAGGCAATTTTTTAACAGAAAACGACGAGTTTGGAATATATGAATAGTTGGGTGATCATTTTGTAAATTTTAATAGTCGGGAGACTCAAAAAAATAACGTCCTATATCGGGACCGTTTTTGTACTTTACCCATTTTAAAAAAATTAAAAATGCAAAGGAAGATATTAATATTTCTCTTTTGTTTTCTGCTTTAAGGTATAAATATTTCCTTTTGTCCAACTTTTCAGCATTACCACATGTGCCTACATAGTGAAGGAACTCTTTAAGCTTGCTTGGCAAGATCCTCTGTACCTTGTTTTGATAAAAGAAGACGATAGGCAAGTATATAAGACCACCTTTTCAGCGTTTTGCTAGTAATTCTCAGGCTTCAGAACTTTTATGTTAACCTACATGTGCATTTTGCTGAGCTAAGTATTCATGGAGAAAAATCTGCCATTTCTATTATGTTCGAGTTTTAAAATGGGCACCGAGCAATTAATAACCAATCAGTTTAGTAAGATGAGATTTAAGATTCTTTAAGCAAGTAAACATACCCCTTAGATTGGTTTGTTTTCCTAATTTATTTAAATAATTGTTATATGGTTTTTTCTTATGTATGAGAAAATTAAGAATTGTGCTTATACTTCACGTAGGGCAGAGAACACGTATGAAAGCATAAAATAACGGTGAGCAGTCTAACAAAGAAGTTGAAATGCAAGTGGATTTCTTGTAATATGATTTTCAAACAGCAACATGGTATGGAATTTCGGTTTTATTTTATATTCTCCTTTATTTGATTGTAAACAATTAGGATGCTAGATATCAAGTCTGTGAATAATCTCGATGGTTCAGTTTTTATTTGTTTGTCATGAATAAAAAATTGGGACCCGATTATTTGGGAACCGGTTGATTTATGAAAGGATTGTATGTATTGAAACGGCGAGTAAAAGGGAAGAAAAAGTATGTTAAATATGTTTGGGTAAACTATACAGTTAACCATTTAACTATTTAGCATTTTTACTTTTGTCACCGATCTTTCAATTTGGTGAAGGACACCACTTAACTATTTAATTTGTTTAATCAGACCACTTGCCGTTAATATTTAATAGAAATGTTGACGGACAGTTAAAAGAATTGGTATATTTATACATTTAGTCCTTAATATTTATATATTCTCTTTATTTTGTCCTAATTTAAATATAATTTAATAAAGGGTTAACTACTTCAAATACCACTCACCTTTAGGCTCGGGCTTGTTTATGCCACTGACGTTTCAATTTTGTCAATTTTAACACTGACGTTTATGTTTAACTACAATTATACCACTTTGTCGTTAATCCATTAATGGGACGATGATATGACATCTCCATTCCGTGACGGCAATGATATGGCTCTCTCACTTAAACGATATCGTTTTGGCAAGATCATTTTGATGCTCAATAAGCCCAAAACTAAGTCATTTTTTATGATAAATTTCTTTCTATGGGATTCGAACCATAGACATTTAAAAAATAAAGTTAAACACCAAACCATCAAACTAAATAACTTGTGATAACCTTAACAAAACTATCATAAATGTTAAATAACAGTTTGAACACACTAATAATCTTCATCTCCTTCCTTTGTAATCTCCAAAAAGCAAGATAATCTAATGGAATCCGACAAGGAAAATACGAAGTCGCAAGAGGATTATTTCTCTAGTGAAAAGCGACCTCATTGAAATCTGTATGGCTTCTAACTAGTTCTTGATTTTCAAATTCAGTACATCCCAATCCATCTTCTTGATCCGAGAAAATCTTGGTTTTTTTCCCTCAGCTTATAAATACCTTCATGGATGATCGATTTTCTAATAGAATTATAAATTTGGACGCATTCTTTAGCATAACCACAAACGATCATGTAATCTGCTATCAATTTCATATCGGACATTGCCATGAAAGAAACTTCTTGTACTTCAGAGATAGAATCCCCAACGGTGTGGATCTTATTGTCTATAACAAGACAAGCTCGATTTTGTGCAGGTTCTTGATGACGAGATGAAACTGATTCCGAATCCAAATGAGCACGGTTCATCGATAAAATCTAGTAAAACTCTTTTTGAAGCCTCTCATTACGATTTACAGAAAATGTTGAACTTGAGAGAGCTTCTCCGAACCGGAACCTAGATCGTTAGCAAGAAAACGCATGATTTTATGCAGGATTTTGATAGATCTTATGAAATTCACGGCCTCTGTTTTGCTTTTGTAGAATAGAGAAGTCCTACTAGCGTACGAAGGCCTTTCAACATCCTATTTCGCAAAGATGGTGGCAGTGGCGTCGATGGTTTGTTCGACTGTCAATTATTGACCGACGATTATTCCTGCATAACAAGGCTAATGAATATCGTGTCACTGACCTCCATAACGGCGACGTTTCAAGGCTTGAGCAAAGGCTCCACATTCCTTTTCGTGACATCCAACTGGAGGAAAGTTCTTTTTGCAGGTTTAGGTTTAATTAAACGGTAGGGGTGAAAAAATAGCTTAATCTTTTGTTGCACCCGATCGATAATTTTAGGGTTTTTATTGGGTTATGGGGTCCAGTGATCACCCTTAGAGATTCTATCGTGTATGGGCACGATATCAGGTGTGTGACAGCCCAACTTGCCGAGGCCCACGTGTACCTTGCGCAGCCCCTAGACCAGCCCGCAGCACGCTATGGATGCGGGGCTCTGTAATGCCGTGGTAAACTATGGGGGTGCCCCAAAAAAATCCACCTTGGCTTGGGGAAAACCAGTGATCACCCACTGCAAAAATATGATGTTAAAATGACTCACCTACTTATCACCAATTGGTTTAAAGAAGGAATGGTGATTATTCGCTTCAGAGCTCTGTAGTTAAGCGTGCTTGAACCAGAGTAATCCAAGGATGGGTGACCCACTAGGAAGTTGTTCAAAAACTGAATAACTCGATCCTAACAAGTGGTATCAGAGCAGGTTGTAGGTTTAAATCCCCCAGGTGTCGCTGGGGGTGATTGTTGGGTTATGGGGTCCAACGATCACCTTTAGGGATTCTATCGTGTATGGAAACGATATCAGGTGTGTGACAACCCAACTTGCTGAGGCCCACATGTGCCTTGTGAAGCCCCTAGGCCAGCCCGCAGAACGCTATAGATGCGGGGCTCTGCAATGCCGTGGTGAGCTGTGGGAGGTGCCCCACAAGAATCCAACTTGGCTTGGGGGAAACTAGTGATCACCCGCTACAAAGATATGAGCTTAAAATGACCCACCTATTTTTCACCAATTGGTTTTAAAAAAGAATGGTGATCATTCGGTTTAGAACTCTATAGTTAAGCGTGCTTGAACCAGAGTAATCCAATGACGGTTAACTCACTGGGAAGTTGTTCAAAAAATGAATCACTCGATCCTAACAAATATTTTGAAAAAAAAAATCTAAATATAAGGTTTAGGGTTTAGGTTTCTAGTGATATTTTGAAAATTCAGTTTTTACATGTATAAAAAAATGATTGGTGCAAGTTATTTGTATAGTGCAGGGGATTGAGAACATGTATTATTAGAGGTGGGTGTTCGATTGAGTCGAGTCGAGTAAAAAAAATTTGAGTTATTTGAGTTGTCGAGTCGTATTTTACTACTCTGAATTGACTTGTAATTTTTTCGAGTCGAGTCGATTTTTTCAAGTTTCTGTTTAAATTTAATTGTGAATATGTATAATATTATAATATTATTTAGTTCCAATTTAAGTGGCTTTCTATAACCATATATACAATACAAATATGTTTCTTCATATTTTTTCATATGTGATATACATATATCATGTAAAGTCTAAGGATTCGACTCGAACTTAAAAATAAATCCACTAATTACTAAATATTTTGAGTTATTCGAGTTGTATTTTACAACTCGATTTGAACTTGAATTTTTTTTTCGAGTAGAGTCGAATTTATAAAATTGTAATTCGAAGTCAATTCGAGTCGAGTTTTTTTTATTTGATTCAAGTCGAAAAATTGATTTTTCGAATAGAGTCGAGTTTTGTTCACCCTATATATTATAGTTATTTTTTAATTGTTTGTATAGTTGTTTCTTTGGTATACATTTCACATTTATCCAAAGAAAATATTTGAGAAAATAAAAAAAATAAGGATGTCAATCATCTTGGTATACGTGCACGAGTAAGTAAGATGTTAATGGTCAATGGAGTTTATTTTCAAAGTGAATAAATTTTCATTCTAAAATTTATTTATTTTATTTATTTATTTATTTATTTATTTATTATTTAATTATTTATATTTGTTTTAAAATTTTATTTATGTTAATCTATTTTATATTATTAATATATTTGTGTTTATTTTTTAAAAAAATATTTATGAATCTATTATTTGAGATGATTAACCGAAGAAATCTGAAGTGAAGGTGAGAAGATCATCCTACCTAACAATAAGAAATTTGGGCCACCATCAGAAGACAAGATCCATAACCAAATCTCCAACCAAAGCTTTGACTGGTGAACGATTAGTTTCTTCTCCTGTGAGAGACTTCATAAGTGTTTAACAAGCTAAGCTATGTCATCCAACATACACTCATGTTTAAGTAGTATGTTATGTTAAGGAATCAACTTTTTACATTTTAAGAAAAGAAAAATTTATAAATTTTTAAGAGAGACAAAAATATATATATTTTTTAAAATACATAGTTCCCTCAGTCCATCTATGCATTTAACCTTTAAATAAAAAACTGAAGCAAAGCTTATTTCAAACTCATTGAAACCTTGGGCGTTTGATGGAAACAGATGGGATTTTGTAATTCTGCAAAGGTGGTGGATTTCTCCATTGAGGAAGAGGACCTGTAAAGAGAAGCGTCTGAAGAAGAGGAGGGCTTGCTTCCATTACAGCTTCCAAAAGCTTCCCTTTTTCAGGTAAACTCTTCCCTTCTGCAAGATTATCAATCACAGCGGTTGAAAAATCTGGTGAAGTGACTACATCTAACAAGGAATCCACTGGGGAAGAAGAACCATGCGAGTTGTTGTGATTATTCGTTTCAGATAGACTGTTCGACTCAGTTATGCTCGAGTTTGCTTTTGCTGCAATCATAAGGAGGTTTTCAGAAGAAGAAGAAGCCATCAACTTGTTAACAAGCTTTTGCAATTCATCTCTCTCTTTGGAGGCGAGTTTTAGAAGATTAAGCAAATGATTCACTTCATCCCTGTATTTCTTTATTTGTTCCTTCGCTTCCGTTCTGAAGGATTCTAGCTCGATTGCAGTGATCTGAAGCTTGAGTTTCAGTTCATCAAAACCCTATAATAAACATAAGGGATCATTAACTCAGTGACAAGACAAGTGAAACATGAAAAAGCAAATGCATGGTGCCTTGTAATGGAATATCGCTGCTATAAGTGAACACCAAAGAAGAAAAAAGAGAGAGAAATGAAGTTGAAGAAGTGCCAAAACCATACATGTCAACCCAGAAAAGGTGAAAGAAGAAAGGAAGAAAGCAATTGAGACAAACAGAAACCCACCTCTTGATAATTCCACAAGGAATCCAAGTCTTCCATTTTGCAAAGTAAAGGAGGACAAAACCAAAAATTGTTGTAAAAGGGAGTCGAGAATAGGCAGTTATTTATAGGGCAATCAGTTGCAAATAAAGACAAGAGCAAGAGATGACCCCTTTGAGTAGGACGTCATCTATTGATATGGTAAAATAAATGTAGATGTTGCGTGTAAATATACTTAATTAATCCCTCCGTTCCATTAAAAAATTGTCTCTTATTTAATTTGTAAAAGTTAAAAATTTTAAAGTTTATCGTGATTATTTTAAATTATTAAATTTTATAAAATATATATGAAAAATATTTAATTGAAGAGAAATTATTCATGGACCCGGCTCACCACATCATACATGATATTGAATAATAGCCACAATTTTAAAATAACTTACAAAAAATCACCCACTTTTTATTTACATATAAGAAAGAGATGAATATTAACCTTGGAAAAAATAATATGGATAAATGTTATTGGTTGAGACCATGAATAACAGGGTTAGCTGGGACCATTTAATAATTTCTCTCGATTGAAGGTTTTTAAAATACACTTTTACATATTTTTATTAATAATAAATTTTAAATAATAAATAGTCAAATTTTAAAAAATACCAAAAAAGTTAATAATGGACATATTTTATGGGGCAAAAGGATTTTAAGATTATAAGTTAAATCATTTAATAAAATGTATGTTTAAAAGATTAATTTTTTCCGAATAATTTAGAACACTTATAATTTTTTCCGAATAATTTAGAACACTTATAAAGTAATATATATTAATATTTTTTTACCATTGACAATACACATTTCTTATCCAAAACTTTTAAGAATAATAACATTACTTTTGATCACTGAGATCGTTAAATGAATTTAATTTAAAATACTATTTAAATTCTTAAAAATCATTATATTAAACAATGTGATGTTTGACTATATTTAAATACCTGAAAATTTCTCTATCAAAATAATATGAGATTTAAGAAATTGATGAAATTTTTAAATCTCACATTTTTTTGATACGGTGATTTCAAATGTAAATATAAGTATAATTACGTATCAAATTGATACGTATCACGTACATTTATTTTTTTGGATACTAATATGATGAACATTGAAATAGGTGTTAAAATAAAAAGGCTTAAAGTAAAAATAGGTACTCAAGCTATGTATTCTTTTTGTTTTAAGCATCTAAACTATTTTTTGGTCAAACTAAATCCTTAAACTATTATAGTTAATCATTTTAAGTCCTATAATTTTTTCAATTAAAAAATAGTTTTTGATCAATAAGATGTTGACATGTCACACAAAATTAGGTACTTGTTTTGACCAAAAATAGTTTAGGGGCTTAAAGAAAAAAGAATCATAGTTTAGGGACTTATTTTGACCAAAAAATAGTTTAGGTACTTAAATTGGTTATATATAATAGTTTAAATACTTAGTTTGACAAAAAATAGTTTATGTACTTCAAGCAAAACAAAGAACATATTTTGAGTACCTATTTTTAGTTTAAGCCAGATAAAAATATTTTTTTAATGGATGATGCTTAGATAAAAAAAGTTTAAGGTTTGTTAATAATTTTTAGAGCAAGTGGTCAAAAGTTCTCAGTTAACGCCTTTCCCCTTTCTTAGATTATAAGTTCAATACTCATTAAAATCAAAATTCTCCTTCTCATTCCCATATATAGAAACCTCTCTTTTTTCCTTTAGTTTTTTTAAGTAATGAGTCATTCTTTTTATTTTCCTTTTCCTCATTAGTTTGAAAGACTTTCAACTCATTTCACAATGAATGTTCAAACACCCATGACATATGTTATACTCAAAAAATAAGTCTCTAAAAATAATAATCATCCATTTAAATTAAGTTAATTGGTAATTTTATAACTTCCGTTAGTTGAATAAGATATTTGATATTTTTTTCCCTTTTCCCAGATAAAAACCTCTATTTTCTTATTGGTTTTTTCAAGTAAGGATACATTGTTGTTAGTTTCATTTTTTTTATTAATCTAGCGATAATTATAAAGTATTATATGTTGAAAGACTTTTAACCTATTTTACAATGAATATTCAAGTTCTCATGATATACAATATATTCGAACTCAATACCTCTAGAGATAATAATTATTCCTTTAAATTACGTTAATCAGTGATTTTATAACTTCCTTTATGTGAATAAGATCTTTGGTATTTTTTCTTTATACCTGATTTATAATGATTTTAAGTGTAACACCCCAACCAGTACCTAACCCGGAAACGAGTCTGAGATGTTACATTGACTTTTTAAAACAATTTCCTTACAAAATAACCGAACATTTGGACTTATATTAAGAAAATACAATCATATATTGTTGAATTATATTTCATTATAACAAATTTGAAAAACATACGTTTTCATGAATAGTACTATATGGTATGAACAGTACCGTGAACAATACTACAGTGTACCGATGCACAAAAATATCGAATATAAATTGTGTATCGATGCATTGCTACAGTAACTTCGGCAAAACATGTAAAAAAACTCATAAAAATCTAAGCTTTCATCCGTATAAAATTACCATTTACATATATACGTTTAAAACATTACAAAACTCAATCATATAATTTTACAAACCAATTAGAACATATCGGAGTCAAATCTTTATATACATGCCAACCAATATCAATATTACAAAATACATACTATTCAATTCTTTTCTGATCTGATCTTTGGAAAGGAGAAACTGACATGTCTTACATAACTTTTATAAATCTTCCTCTTCTCGGAACCTATGTGTGAAAGAATCACACGCTAAGTCATTGACTTAGTGAGGCATATAAAACATAATAACTATAATGCATCTCATATACATATGAACATATAATCTAATTATTATATCATGTCACAAATAATTCAGTGTAAATGATAATAACATGATAACATGTAACATTGCAAACACTTTTGATACCTTTTGTAAGCCCATTAATATGCTTATCAATACTTATATTACTATCAGTAGTTCCTTTTTATCCTATAAGCATATACTGAACATTTCTATACATACCATGGAACACATATATCATTTCACAACAGAGCACACATAGTACCATATCAATTGATTTATTTACTCTCTTTAAAGACCATGTATTAGCCCATGTATACTTTTAAGAACTTAAGGTATATGAGTACATTGAGGTTGTGCACTATTTTGTCACCACAACTCGTATGGGGTCTCACTAGGGGCATGTGAATTTGTCCCGAGGGACCTGTCCATAGATCCTGATGAATCTAGGTAATCAGTCCATATGTCCCGAAGAACATAGGTAATCTATACCTGTCCATATGTCCCGAAGAACATAGGTAATCTGTAACTGTCCATATGTTCCACAGAACATAGGTAACCCTCGACTCTTGGCATACCAACTATACCCCTAGCTCTCATATCACATAACATGGACATTATTTTTATACTTATCACTTTACATATTCACAGATTCATATCGCATCATTCTTTCACATAGCTCTTTATCACATTTCATATGATCACATATTTATTCTCTTATGTCACGTATTACATGTACGTGTAATCATTGATCTTATATCATATGATTTTCTCGTATATTATCATATCCTATTGTCATGTATTCATTTCATATTCATATGTCACATAGTTCATATCACTTTTGCATGTAATCACATAAGCATATATATATATATCATATCTTTTCCACATATATTTCCCATATAACTCATATCATTTAATTCGTATCTTATTCTTATGTCATTATATATATATATATATATATATATATATATATATCTCTATGTTCTTTCATTTAATCTCTTATGTTCATATATCACGTTCATATCACATGTAATTATGTAATTCACGTCACATATAATAACATATGACATCTATACAAATTTTCATATACTCATGCACACATAAGAATCACATCATTCACAAATCAAATAACATTTCAAAAGTCACTTCTTACCATAGTAACTCTGTCACTGGCTCATCGCAAGCCAATGTTAGATCAATAACATAAGTACAATTAAATTGCACTCACCTTAGCCTTTCTTTGATTCGATCCTAATTCTTTAATTGTTCCAGAACTTGTTTAGGCTCAATATCTATATAAACATAATTTTCGAGACAATTATCAGAAGCCTAAACCTTAGAACTTGATGTTAATAACTTAAGCTAGTTTAATGAACCAAAATTCCATTTTTCCTTTAGGGGTGTATCGATGCACTATGGGTGCATCGGTACCCAAAATAGCTTCAAATTCCCATGCATCGATGCACGCCGATGTGTATCGATGCATCTTCAAAATTGATCTTAATGCATCGGTACCCATTCTTAGTGTACCGATGCACCTGTCAATAATAAACTGGTTTCATCCAAAAATTCCACAACTTTTCATTAAATTTCCTGATATAAACGCCTTTCATACCACTAAACTCAACTACAACCATTTTAACTAACTTTTATCATTCCAATACCTTATTATCTCCCATATCTCATCCAAATTCTTAAAGCTAAGAAGCATACCAAATTTTTCATGTTATCAAAACTTAATTCCAACACTTATAACTTCTTATTCATACTTATGACAAGTCAAATTCCATCTCAAAGTTCATTTATTAACTCTCTTCAGAAATTCACTTTGAAACTCATTCTCTTTAATCTTTCATAACTTCTTCATCTTTTGATTTAAGACAAATTAAGCTGTCCTTAAGCTTAATTATCATCTAAGGATCAAAACCCATACTTTAAATCAACAAACAATCAAGAAATCAGAAAACTCACCTTTGCTCCCTTGGCTCACCGTGGAGAAGAAGAAAGAAAGAAGAAGAGAGAGAGTTTTCCATCTCACTCTTCCCCCTATGTGTTAATCTTCTATTAATGGGGAGAAAAATATCTTTCATGTTAAATGACCATTTTGCCCTTTAATTTCTTTGATAAATACTAACAACTTTCCGAAAATATTTCCAAATAAATCATTGAACTATTCAACTATTTTACTTTAATCACTAGATTTTGAAATTTTACAATT